TTAATTGGGAACTAATCTGTGACATAGTTACGTTCATTTTACAATCCTCTACATGCAACAGAATTTCGGGGTGACCATTCTAACAGTACACGTTGCCAACTTTCCAGGTGACCATTATCCTAGTGTATTCGGTACCCACTATTGTGGTCAAGCACCATATGCGGATTCACTTATAAAACACACTCCGCTATTTATAGACTGTCAGCAGTTCGTTACGTAAAGTCCTTTCGTCTTAAATTTAACTAACCGATAACCATGGAACGCCAAGGATATATTGTAATGTGTTGTACAGGCAATGGCTGGCTTACGAAAGCCTCACATTTCTCATATATCTAAGAGGGTGGTGATGACTGGGTACATGTTGGTTGCTGTACGATACATGGAAAGCTTACTAAAAAACCTTTAAAGAGGGCGCGATAAATATTGTGTAAAGTTCGTCAATTACGTCGAATTATGTTTATACTGTATAAACAAATTAAATGCGGCTCTAAGGCAACTAAGCAAATCTACTAATGAGAGCAAGCCAGTTGGGACCATCTGTTAACAGTCACGAAAATTTCATCAGCAGCCACTAACTCCATTCCCTACTCCAGGGACACAGTGACTATTATTATTCCGTCCAGTTGTCAGTAAAAGAATGGTGCCGTCACTTAGGCCGCTGCGGCTGTCTACAGTAATCTCGCTGTTCTACTCCTTGCTGATATGGCACACGGATAACACACAAATCTGGCCTCGCTTCTCTGAATGTGAATACGGTTGTTTTCACATTTGTGTCACATTGAACTGCCTCACGTCCGACGTTGTCAAATGTATGTGTTGTGACCGTAAAAGTCGCTGGGCATGGGAAGTTATTTATTGCATGATATCTCGTACAAGTTATGTTAAAACGTAGGATCAGGAATGCGTACACTCTTGTGCGGTTGACGTTTATTCAAACAACCTGCCAACGGTACATTGTCATTCGCCCTGGCGACACTTCCTTCACTGTGCGTACGCACCATTCCAACAGTCCATCGTCATCCTGACGTTGAGATCTGCTACGTAGTTCCCGAATGTACGCCCTATACCACACACGCGAACGAAGCTGCCTGTTATACAGCACATGACAGTATAATTTCTCCACTTATGTTACAGCACAGCTTCTTGCACACGAAAAGTAGACACCTGAAAATGTGGAACGAAAAAAAACGTTTGATATCATTTTTATCCGTCTTCGACCTACGACTGAACTGTCCGAAAAGCTACACCAACTAGTGGTCCATCTACTAAGCTGCTTGCTGCTAGTAAGTTTACCAAGATAAAGATTAGTTTGATGGTGCTGCATTATTTAGAACTCACACTCAAACCCAAACCTCGTTACCCATATCTTGTAAGATGCATTCAGCCCAGTGGAATTACATAACTAAGAACGATCCCAATGTTTTCGACATCAGCGTAACTAGAACTGTTGCTCAACTTGAACGAATTCTCCAGTTACTATTGCTATGCTCAAAAGTGTCCTTTATCAGCCTTACAATTTCTTGCAAGACTTTACGCTCATTCCAATGCATAATCTCACGTCACCGTTGGGTGATTGGAGGCTCGATTCACAACACTTTCAAGTCAGGCTCATGGTTGTTAATATAATAATTCGTAAACTAATGCATAACTCGCTGGAACCACAATGCCGCTAGTTTAACATCCAGAAGTTGAGCTCCGGAATTGTACCCTCAACAATGCAATCCCCACATTTCTTGGTTGCTGCTAAGAGGCCGAGTCTGTTTCTTACCTAATTTATCCGATCTACCTGCAGTTGCGGTTACAAGTATATTGGTATGAGGAACCAGAGTTTATAGCAGCGGACAGCGGAAACATCAGTAGGTGTTTAGTGAATCCGGTGGCGTAATAAATATCAGCAATTCATGGCTAGGATGAAACCTCTTTTTCCATTGTCAAACAAGTGTTGAATGCAAGTCACCTGATGGACCATTACAACGGCTAACGCACTCAAAAACCCAGAGATACTTGCCCTCATCTGTGCGTAAAGCCTTGAACAAAATCGGTATCACTGCCATTAAACTGACTCTGATTTCATTATTGTCCGTCACTTACAATTGCTCATCTTGCAGAAACCCGCTTTTAGAGCGTGTAACTCAGTGGCCTTCGTGTTGCGACCGACGAAGACAAACTGCTTAACAGCTCTGTCGTAGTTCGTTTCAGCCGTCCTGACGCGATTAGATAATCAGATCTATTTTTTCAAAACATTTATGTGTTGCCTTATACAACATTAGGCAACCCGGGTGTCTCGCGGTCTATGACACGCTGGCAGCAAACGTGGTCAATCTCATGGACTTATTTGATCATTTTTATTGGCTAATCAAAATGACGTCGTTTTGACAAGCACATGTTTCCGTGCTATTCCTATCAGATATTCAGAAGTACAGATTATAAAATGTCTACTTATCAGCTTAACAGCAACAGTTAAATGGCTCACAAAAGCACAAATATGACCACTTATTCACAAGTCTGTTGAATATTCGAAAGGTACGGCGAAATCGCGACTGCTGTTGTTAGTGCCTCTTCTGATTGGTCTCCAGTGTCGACGCACGTTGGGTTTCGGTCGACCAGACTTGGCAAGTGAGCAAGATGTTCAATGAACGCATCAGTGAATTGTGTGACCTACTGACGACCGCTTCACCTGTTACTAGATGGACTGACGCTGTTCAATCAGATTGCATTGGATATTGCGGTAGATTATGTGGAACTACTCGGATAAACATGTTTGGTCAAGTCTGCAAAATGAACGTAGACGGAGAAGTTTTTCAGTTTGATTGAGACACTTCTCAGGCGAATACTGCAGTACATACAGCAATCCAATTTATTTTTCATTGTTCACGTTTGAATGTTGGTTGTCTTTTGTATGCCTTTTTATACAAGCGTTTGCATGCGTTTAAACATTTGTTCCAACAAGTGGAGGTACCGACAGGTTCCCCAGACACTGGACCTTTACTCGTTTATTTGTTGCGTTGGTCCCAGCCGTTCGTCTCGGTTCGTCTGACTTTACACACACGTTAGGGTCAGTCTACCATTGTTGGAGTCGTTAAACCGAACTGCACGCAAACGTCTACTGGAAAACCGGATGTCAGTCGTTTGTCAGTGTTAACCGAAATATTGAAGTGTTCTTCCAGGTTAAGCGGCGGGCGCAAAGCAGTCATCCGACGGACGTCTTGGCTACCCAGAAGGAACCCGTCAAAGACAACTGAATGAAAATGAGTATTGAGAAATCATGCTCTGGCTGATGCACTGAGCAGGTTTATTCACCATTTGTAATTACAACAGAGGTAAAAGTGAAAAAACACGAGTTCCTTTTGAAAGTTAACAACGATAGTTTCCTGCAGCTGAGGAGGGATGTGGACCTAAGTATCCAACCAAAACTGCATATGGGGTACCGTATCTCGCCGTTGCGGGCCAAAGAGGTTCAATGAGGAGCTCAGTATGTAGAATCAGACGAACCAACACCGGCGGCTACGAACAACGCAACCAGTAAACAAGGAGTATGTTGTTGACACGTGAAGTCGGCGTGAGCGGACGAATAACGAGAAGATAATACAGTGGAACGGTAAGCGACCGCGCAGCCAGAGTCGTAAGTTCGAGTGCGCGGGATACTTGTCGGTATCCGTACACGTTTCAACAAACGTTTATGCACATACAAAAACATGGAAAACAGAAAGGCATACAAATGGCAATCGTAGCTCTAACGTAATAAGCAATAAACAAATACAGTGGTTGCAAGTACAAACCTAGAACATTTAGCCCGTATTGATCGTCGACGAGCCATGTAGGTCAAAAAAGAAATTTTTTACTAATCTACTTTACTTCACTACTGAAATTGAGATTGATCTTTACTGCTTGTCCTCCTCATATCTAGACAAGTATATATGCATTCCGGCTCATATATTATATACAGTGGACTCCATCTTGTTGAACTGAGGCAGAAACATGCGAGTGAAAAAGAAAATACCAGCTACGATTATTTTGTATTATAATGGTTTGGAATAAATTGAACAGTACCACTTTGAGTTGTTGGGGTTCTATTGGTAGGAAAATACGCCAAGATATAGCCAAATAAGTGCTTGTCAGCTAGTCTGTTAGGCTCGTTGAAAGGAACACGAGCGCCGACGTTTTCACAATTGATCACCAGAAAGAAGAGTGAGAAATTGTGCACATTTCAGCAAATATGTGAAACACTATAAACGTGTTCAAACAACCTTGAAGAGGACGAAAATCGGATGCAACTAATTAATCATTTAACAAATACTGATGAACGGATGATGCAAAAACTCAGCGGAAACTCGTGGAGCGGTTTACATACGGCAATAGTAAAAATTTGGATGACGCGCCAGATTCCTCATTTTTGTAACATATAGAAGGCAGAACAAAAGCTGCTGACAAGATTGAGGAAAGGGTATTTAGATATATTCCAATTATCGAATCACTGGTTGACTAAATTCATTTCAAAGAAAAGTGGACCAACAGTATACGAAAAGCTAGGGCCCAGCCGGGATTTTCGAACCCGGGACCACTCGCACCCTAAGCGAGTATCATACCCCTAGACCACTGGGCCGACAGTGGTTAGGCGAGCGCCATATACAAACAAACTACAAGTCATAAAATAATACCTCCCACTGAGAATCAGCGTTGCGTTAGTTGTCGCTTCGTAATTCAAGTTGAACATCACCCACAATTGATCGCAGCTGTCGCATTCCCATAGACTTTCCAGTCGGCCCCTTTCGAAAAGAAGCACTAGACTCGAGTTTCGCTCTCATTAGAGCTCGTCAGTAGTGCTTCGTAATGTAGTGGTTTCTCTTGGAATCAATGTGAAATGCACCAAACATATGAGTGCAGATAAGAAAGCGTTGGACAAAGATGTTGTCGTGAGTCCGTGAAAGGAGAGACAGCCAACCATAGTTTACTGGACACAGGACAACCATATCAAATTAATGTATCAAATTATGTGTAAATAGCAGAAGTAGAAAGTTAGAGTGAAGTCTCCCCTATCGGAATCAGTCCAAAGTTTAAACTGCCTAGAATTTCACCTTATCCTATTCATCTGTTACTATGGCCACCTGTTGACGTTGCTGGCTTCGGTTTGGTAGGGTATCACACACTGGACACACTAGAAAGAAAGTGCATTGTCACGTGGATGTTAAACTAGCGGCATTGTGGTTCCAGCGAGTTATGCA